TCATGCCAAATCTTACAGACAATAGAAAAAGAAGAAATATTTCAAAATCATTCTGCTTAGTCTGGATACACCTGATACTAAAATTGGAAAAAATATATTATAAAGGGAAAATTACAAACATAATTCACTTTTAAATGAGGATGCAGTATCCTGTATCCTAAACAACATATGAACAAGTAAAAATTAATGTTTAAGTGATGTACTTGAGTCAAAATCGAATCCAATTTATGTGAGAATTAGTCACTGTTTTTTTTTTTCTTGTCGCTACCCTTACCCCCTCCCTCATTCTCTGTCTGCTCACCCCTTCCCCATGCCCTAAACTGTCACTTTTCTAGTGAAAAATATTTATTTTATTTTATCTTATTTTATTTACTCTTTTTTTTTTTTAAGGAGACAGTCTCACTATGTCACCCTGGGTAGAGTGCCATGATGTCACAGCTCACAGCAACCTCCAACTCTTGGGCTTAAGGGATTCTCTTGCCTCAGCATCCCAAGTATCTGGGACTACAGGCACCTGCCAAAACACCCAGCTGTTTTTTTGTTGCAGTTGTCGTTGTTTAGCTGGCCTGGGCTGGGTTCAAACCCGCCAGCCTCAGTGTATGTGGCTGGTGCCATAACCACTGTGCTACAGGTGCTGAGCCATCTAGTGAAAAATTAGATTGCTTATTGGTAGTGATTATAAAAAGAATTCTCAAAGTAGAAAATTTCACAAATAAGGAAGAAAATAAAAATTACCCAGTTTTACTTCTCAGTATTTTGGTTTGTTTCCTGATAGTCTGGTTTTTTATTGCATTTTTCATGTATTAAATTGTATGTATAATTTATATTCAGTTTTATAAACTTTATAAACATTTTCCAGTGTTACTGGAATTCTTTCTAAGGATTTTTTTAGTGGATTTATCTTTATTTTTTCACATCACAAAGCAGTGCATAGTTATTAAATACTGTTAGAATAGAGAAAATTGTGATTTGTAATTCAGAAATTTTAAGTTTCCCATAATCCTGCCCATCCAGAGATAACCACTGTTAACATTTTGGGGTAGAGGCTTGGCACCCGTAACTCAGAGGTTAAGATGCCAGCCATATACACTGAGGCTGATGGGTTCAAAACTGGCCCAGGCCTGCCAAAGAACAATGACAACTAGAACAAAAAAATAGCCGGGTGTTGTGGCAGGCAACTGTAGTCCCAGCTAGTTGGGAGGCTGAGGCAAGAGAATCACTTAAGCCCAAGAGTTTTAGGTTGCTGTGAGCTATGTCACCACAGCACTCATACTGAGGGTGACATAGTGAGACTCTGTTTCAAAACAAACAAACAAGAAAACCCCAACATTTTGGGGTAGATTCTTCTAGAATTTGTCTCTATGTGTATGTACACTCATACATATGAATATATCAAATTTTTCTTTTACAACAAATATGACGTACATGTTCTGCAACTTTTTTCCAAGTAGTATACTTTTTTTTTTGTAGTATACTTCTTGAATACTTACTGTGTCTAGGCTGTCTTTCAGTATCTGCACATGTATGTCTCATTACTTTTAGTAGACTTCTCAGCATTTCATTGTGCTGTCAATGGAAAATAACCCAAACTCTGGAAAAGAATTTAAAGAGGTTTATTCTGAGCCAAGTTTGAGGACCATGGCACAGAGCCATACCCAAGAAGCCTTGAGCAAGTTGACTTACTGTGATTGGGTTACAGTTTGATTTTTTTTTTTTTTTTTTTGGTTTTTTCGAGACAGAATCTCACTTTGTTGCCCTCATAGCTCACAGCAACCTCAAACTCTTGGGTTCAAGGGTTTCTCTTGCCTCAGCCTCCCAAGTAGCTGGGACTAAAGGCACCTGCCACAACACCTGGCTATTTTTAGAGACAGGGTCTCCCTCTTGCTCAAGCTGGTCTTGAACCCATGAGCTCAGGAAATCTGTCCACCTTGACCTCCCAGAGTGCTAGGATTTGAGGCATGAGCCACCACGCCTGGCCTACAGTTTGGTTTTATACACTTCAGGGAAACAGGAATTATATGTAAAGTCATAAGTCAGTATACAGAGTGCATACATTGGTTTGGCCCGCGAAGGTGGGACATCTTGAAGTGGGATTAGGGCCGGGGTGAGGAGGCCAGTACTCTGGGAAGCCAAGTCAAGTGGATTTAACAGATTATAGGTGGATTTAAAGATTCTTTGATTTGTAATTGGTTGAAGAAATGAAGCTTTGTTTTAAGACTTGGAACGTTTTAAGTTAAGGAAGTGTGCTAATCATAGACTAGCCACCACATATATACCCAAACTCAGGTGATCTGTTAAGGAAATTGAGGACCTATAGGTGGACCTTAGCTACACCTATAGGTGTAGCTTAAGGAGGACCTTAAGCTTTGACTTGTATGGCCCGTTAATGAGTTATAAACTCTTATCTCCAAGAGGGGAGAGAGGAGCATATCTGACTTCCCTTCTCATGGCTAGCAACTCAGCTTTAGGATATTTCTGGCATCCACTTAGTCAGGAGGGGGTCCATTCAGTCAGCTGGGAAGCTTAAGTTTTTTTTTTTTATTTTTGTTTACAGTATTCACTTAAATTTATTTACCAGTGCCTCTAATAGTGGTCATTTGCACTGTGCTGTAATTATTTTACTACATTTTTTTTTGCCGTTTGGCTGGGTCCGGGTTTGAACCCGCCACCCTCAGTATATGGGGCCGGCGCCCTACTCACTGAGCCACAAGAGCCACCCATTATTTTCCTACATTTATCTTTGTGCTCTGGTACACATAGCATGAATTTCTAGATGGGGCTGTTAGATAGATAGGTAGGTAGATAGATGTTTGGGGGTGTTTTTGTTTTTTTGTTTTCCTTCTATTTTTAGTAGAAACATGGCCTTACACTTGATCAGGCTGGTCTCAGACTCCTAAGCTCAAGTGATCCTCCTGCCCCCACCTCCCAGAGTGCTAGGATTACATGTGTGAACCACATCACCCAGGTGGGGGCTTTAGATTGTGATAGACATTGCCAAAGTATCCACAAGCAAATTTTAATTCAGCTTATATGTCCTCTTAGAGGACATGATATTTTAAAGACCTGTCATGGTGTTTAATGACCATATGACCTCCATGTTTACATCAGAGAAGGGTAGTTTATGTAAGTGTTCTTCTGTTGTTGCACACTGGGATAGTGCCTGTGCTTTTGCTGCCGTAAACGACTCTATAGAGCAGCGGTTCTCAACCTGTGGGTCATGACCCCTTTGGGGGTCGAACAATCCCTTCACAGGGATCATCTAAATACATCCTGCATATCAGATATTTATATTATAATTCATAACAGTAGCAAAATTATAGTTATGAAGTAGCAATGAAAATAATTTTAGGGTTGGGGGTCACCACAAAATGAGGAACTGTATTAAAGGGTCACAGGATTAGGACGGTTGAGAACTACTGCTATGGACAAGTGTGTGTAAAGCGTCCTCTAAGATAACCCCCTCTGTGCAGACTGTGTGCACACTCCTGGAGACATTTGTATCCAGTACCCGGGCCTGTGTCCAATGCCAACAGCCAATTGTTAGCACTACAGCTATTTCTTCTCCTTGATTTTTTTGTTTTTTGTTCTTTTTTAGAGACAGAGTCTTATTTGTCGCCCTTGGTAGAGTGAGTGCCATGGTGTCATAGCTCACAGAAACCTAAAACTCTTGGGCCTAAGCAATCCTCTTGCCTCAGGTCCCCAAGTAGCTGAGACCATAGGTGCCCACCTAACACCTGGCTATTTTTAGAGATGAGGTCTTGCTCTGGCTCAGGCTGGTCTCAAACCTGTGAGCTCAGGTGATCCACTTGCCTCAGCTCCCAGAGTACTAGAATTACAGGCATCAGCCAGCATGCCCAGCTATTTCTTCTGTTAGTTGCCTATTGTAGTCTGTATTTTACACATCTTACTGAACACCTTTTGTACGTGAATGGTTTTTCTGCCAGTTTATCTCTTGGCTTCATGACTCTCACTTATATTATTGACAGTAGAAATGGTCCTTTTCTATTAATTCTGAACTTAGGACCTTTCAGTGGCCAAGGATGCCTCTCTTTGTATGTCAGACACTGGTCCAGGTTCTGGGATTTTACAGATATACCTGGAGCTCCAGGAACCAGGTATCAAATGCTTGTGTAGATTAAACTTGTCCTTTATTACCAAGACTCAGAATCCCAGGAAGATAGGTAGATTGTTCTCAAAGCCTGCTGTACCTTGAGAGAACCTTACAGAGTTTCCAAAAGTTACCAGTTTTTAGCTATACATTGTTAAACCCTCTTATCTCAAGCCATAGGACTTTTTTTTCCCTGGAGACAAAGTCTCACTCTGTCACCCTGAGTAGAGTACTGTGGCATCATAGCTCACAGCAACCTCAAACTCTTGGGCTTGAGCACTTCTCTCACTTCAACCTCCTGAGTAGCTAGGACTACAAGCATGTGCCACCCTGCCCTCCTAGCTTTTTTATTTTTAGTAGGGACAGGGTCTTTTGTTCAGACCAGTCTTGAACTCCTGAGCTCAGGCAGTCCACCTGCTTCGGCCTCCCAGAGTACTAGGATTACAGGCATGAGGCACTGTATGCCCTTTTATGGCCTCTTTCTGGGTACTCTCTGTGCCTTCTGCCCTCTTCTTGTCTTCTTCCTCCTTTGCTTGGCCTCTACTCAAGAGCCTAACAGAGATTGGTCAGATGCACCATTTCAGCCCTAAATGCCTGGAAGAGAGAAACTGGCCAGTTAGATCAAGCAAGTGTGCACCAGTAGTCTATTTGGCTATGGCCAGAGGTGTAAGGTTGTACAACCATTCAGCAAGGGCAGTAAGAGCAAGAACATCAACTGATGACTGACATTTCCCCTGCAGAGACAGGAGCAGCATTTCTACTAGAAGCAGCATGGCTCAGCACCTGTAGCATAGTGGTTACGGAGCCAGCCACATACACTGAGGGTGGCAGGTTTGAACCCAGCCCCAGCCAGCTAAACAGTGACAACTGCAACAAATAGCTGGGCATTGTGGCGGGCACCTGTGGTCCGCTGAGGCAGGAGACTCACTTAAGCCCAAGAATTTGAGGTTGCTGTGAGCTGTGACACCACGGCACTCTATCAAGGGTAACATAGTGAAACTCTGTCTCAAAAAAAAAAAAAAAAACCATAGAAGCAGCAAATGTGAAGGCACAGAGATAGGAGTTGTGATACAGGGCTAGGGAAGAGAAGGCAGCCAACTACGGAAGATGTCTAAAGAAGAGAAAAGACAGGCAAGGCAAGATCAGCATGGCTTGTTCAAGGCTTCACCAGAAGAAGTTGGTTTTTTATTTGCCAGGAACAGTAGAGATGTGGAAGGTTTTTGAGTGGATGAGGACGATTGGAGTTGTGCTTTAGGAAGATAAATTTGGCAGCATTTGTGTAACCTGAGTTGGAGTAAGGAGATGATGTCATAGCATAACAGGAAAGGGCCTTTCCTTACTGGAACGTCCTGACAGATCTTTAGGGGATGGGAGTGGGTCCCCAACCTACCTGTGGCTTATATGAATGTCTCCCTCTCAGCCCTTCTGCTCCTGGATAGTGGTTTCCCTGTTTTAGGTCTGTTGATCCTGAAGACATCTGAGGTAGCCACCTCTGAGTGTCCAGACCCACTCTGTTAGACTTGCAGTATAGGCTGCATTTCAGGTGCAGGTGTTTCAACGCACCATGCAGTGCCAAGCAATAGTTATGTGTGGGGTCTTCTTCATTTCTTATTTTCTCCTGAAACAGATGTCAATGCCAATCTTGTCATCCCGAGGAGACATGGAGAGCATCCGCCGCTGTCTGGCTCACAGCCTCTTCATGAGCACTGCTGAGCTTCAGCCAGATGGTACTTATGCCACCACGGACACCCACCAGCCAGTGGCCATCCACCCCTCGTCTGTCCTTTTCCACTGCAAACCAGCCTGTGTGGTATACACTGAGCTGCTTCACACCAACAAGTGCTACATGCGGGACCTCTGCGTTGTGGATGCCGAGTGGCTGTATGAGGCTGCCCCCGAGTACTTCAGGAGGAAGCTGAGAACTGCCAAAAGCTGAGAACTATCAGGACTGAGCTGTTCCAGGAGGATGCGGCCAGAATTACTGGTGCCTGGGAGCATGGCCCACAGCTGTCCTTGTAGCAGACTTCCAGGTTGGCTCCTAGAGAAGCAGCAGGTTTTAATGCAGCTAAATGTGCCCAGCTTCCAGGAGTTTGAAAGCATCTTTGCTTAAAAACTTAAGACTGAACCCTGTAGATATGTACATATCATTTATATTCTGGAAACTTCAAAATCACGTTTCTGGTTTCTCGTGGCTGACTTTGAGTGATTTAGATAACTTCTGAGCCTCAGTTTCCTCACATGGGAATAATAATAATAATAATAATTGCTTAGAGGATTGGGGTTACGAAGTTTAGAGAAAGTACCCAGAGCTATTTCTGGTGCATGACAGACATATAGTGAGCTGTGAGCCATTACGCTTACTCTTACTGTTTTCAGCATGACATGGATTGAGTACAACAAAATTTCAAGTTCTGTGACTGAGGGGAATTTTCTAGAATAGGGGCATAAGAAGTTGCAGAGCTTGGACGTTTGTTGTCCATGTTTCTGTTTTAATGTCTAGCTGTATGAAGCTTTAAAATGGAAAAAATAGTGTGTGGCTGATGCCTGTAATGCTAGCACTCTGGGAGGCTGAGGCAGGTGGATTGCTCGAGCTCAGGAGTTCAAGACCAGCCTGAGTAAAGGCCAAACCTGTCTGTACTAAAAAGAGAAAAACTAGCTGGGCATAGTGGTGCACACTTACAGTCCCAGCTACTCAGGAGGCTGAGGCAAAAGAATTGCTTAAACCCCAAAATTAGAGGTTGCTGTGAGCTCTGACGCCACACACTCTACCTAGGGCAACAGAGTGCAACTATGTCTCAAAAATAATATATAAATAAATAAATAAATTGGAAAACATAAGCAACTGACACCAGTAGGTATTTACAGAGGGGGAGGTGCTGTTGTTTCTTTACCTTCTGGGATGGCTGTCCCTACTGCTCTATGTCTATCTCTAAGCAGAGCTCAGCGGAGGTGTCTCTTGGTCCTTCCTGCCTCTGTTGTACATGTCCCTGTCAGTGCTTTTCGGAGACACATACATTTCTTGGCCAAAGGTTGATTTGTCCCTTCTGAATAATGTCAAGTATAGACATGGAAAACTGACCTTTTAGTGTGCTCCCAAATACTGAGTTGTCATTTTTCTCACTGCGTACCTGTGATCATGTGAATATGAGGAATGACTGTGCTCCATTCTAGCGGTTTCTCTTCACGCAGGGCCCCTGATCAGAACTCTTGGGGATGGGAGGGGAGAGGTGCGTGGTCAGCAAGAGCCCAGAGAGCATTGGTTCATTCCAGCCACCACATCTGCTCTCATATTTTGCATCATTGATTTTCTATGATTTTTTTCCTTTTTCATAGGGACTTGGGGACAGTTTGGCTTTGCTGCTTCCTAACCGACAGGCATCTCTCTAATGTTCGTTCTCTACATTTCTATTCTGATTTTTTTTTTTTTTTTTGAAACAGTCTCAAGCTGTTGCTCTGGGTAGAGTGCCTTGGCATCATAGCTCATGGCAACCTACAACTCTTGGGTTCAAGTGATCCTCTTGCCTCAGTTTTTCTATTTTTAGTAGAGACAGGGTCTCGCTTTTGCTCAGGCTGGTCTCGAATTGTGACCACAAGTAATCCACTCGCCTCAGCCTCCCAGAGTGTTAGGATTATAGGTGTGAGCCACCACACCGGCTCCTATTCTGATATTTTGAGAGGGGAAAAGACACTAATAGTTCTTCATAGCCATTTAATTATCAGAAGCAGATAATTTTTCTCCAGAGGATGTTGCCCAAGAAGAAGCCAAGATTTAACCATTTTATTATGCTTAATTGGTCCAAACACATCTGTGCAGTATTTTGTCATTTCTTAGAAGATAAATCAGTTTATAAGCAGGCAACCAAACTGCCTAAGAGATTTTTTCAAATTCCGTGGACAGTCTCTTCATTCTGGATCCAGTGAGCACTTTTCAGAGATGGTGGCCTGTTGGAGCACCCCCATGCCAGGTCTCAACTGTACACAGTTGTGCACATCTGGCTCAGTCTTTATTTATAGCACTAGCCATGGTCCTGCACTTTTAGCCAGTGTTCAAGGGTGCCTAATCACTTGTGATTTATTTATGTTAGAAATGGTTATATTTAGGTCCAATAAGATTGACAGATCCTAGATACCTTATCTTATTGAATTTTTAAGCTTTCTGCTCTTTCACAGATTAAGTTATTCTTACCATTGCTGATGTTCTGAAAAGTTTTCTATAAAGTTGGGTTTTGGTTTTTTAGTGTTTTTTCCTCATTCACTTAATAGGAGGCTAGGATATTTACTTGGGAAAAGAAAATATTGTATTTTTAATACAACATTCATTGTGTTGGTAAAACATTAGGGATGAGGGGTAGTTTATCATGTTCCTCAGCAAATTATTTCTCTAGCTAGAGGTAGTCTCTGGGTCAAGTAAAACTTGGAGTTATTTCTGTCCAGCTTAAGTACCTGAACAGTTTCCAGAAATGTCTATTTTTTTCTGAGGGGGTAAAGGATTTTAAAAGCTTCTGTGTAGCTTTGATGTTTCTGTACAGAAATATGTTTATCACTGTAATATTGTGGTAGAGTTTTAATACAGTATTTAGTTTTTTATTGGGCTTTCTAAAAGGTTAAATTGTAACATAGCTGCTCAGGGATTAAATCAGATTGGAAAATCCATTCTGACTCCACATGTTACTACAAAGAAACAAATGGTTATTTATATTTAGCTGCAGGGGATAGTACACTTTAATCTTAAACTTTTTTTTTTTTAATCTTAAACTTTCGTAGGAAAGTTAAATGTTTCACAATGATATTTGGATGTAATCTTCAACTACTTTTTTAATTGGTGGAATCTCTGATGGTGTTCACCTCTTTTCCCACCTGTGAAATCTATATTTGGACAAATCACCAGCTCCCATGAGCAGCTTCATGTAAATAGATGCACTCCAAGCAGATTGCATGCCTCAGGTGTTTGTCTTTTAGAAATCACAGTGTGTGAAACATCCAGATAAACACACATTTCATTACAATGGAAAAGACTGCAAGCACCAGGTCCTTGATTAAAAACCCTTAATGCTGCATTTCTGCTAGTTGTAAAGAGATATCAGAATGGAGGCAAGTTTCCTCTGTGGGGAAACCAATTGTGTACTGTGTTATTGATATGTAAATCTGCCTAATTCAGTTACCAGAAACTGCTTGGCACTGTGCCATGCATCCAAGATGTCATTCCTTGAACATATAAGGAAACACTTGCAGCTCTAGGAACTGTATTTGATCACAATGTTGTAATTTGTAGAAAAAACTAGAGAAAGACAAAATAGCCAGTTAGTTCATGCTTAAGTTGTATTTTCAGAGTCTGGTCTTATTCACACAGAAGTAACTATAGAAACATCAGCTTTTGTATATAATGCTCAGATGTGCACTTGACTATCAAATCCATTAAATACCAATCTTGTACATGATGTGTATGGTTGGTTTCTTGGGTCTATTTTCCTGTCACAGAAAAACTGCTTAGAAAATATTAAGTATTAGTCTTTCATTGTCACTAATTTGGTAAGACATAACCTTCTTAAATATATACTGTGTATCCCAGGAAGGTAGGATTGTTGGTTATTAACCTAAATCTGATGTAAGTCAGATTTTAACCTAAATGTGATATAGTGACATGTCTTGTCTCCAGAAAAATGATGCTTCATTTAGAACTTGGACACAAGGTTGGAGGGTGTAGAGAGGGAAAGTCACAGAAATTGAAAACGGATCCGCCTTCAGATCTTGCAGTCTGGCAAGAGCGAAAGGACGCTGCCTGGTAAGCAAGCAATGGCAGGAGGTTTCTGCTGAACTACAGTGAATCATAGAGGCTGGGTGCGCACAAGCATGAGCTCCTATTAGGTGGAAGCTGCATTTGTCCCTGAGACCACATCAAAAAGAACCAGGACAATTAGTCTGAGCAGAAGAGAAGGAAGATTTATTAATTTGCAGGCAAATGAAAAGGATGGAGTTCATGTTTCTATCTAAGAGCAGAAATTTAGAGCTGTTGAGAGGGAGGATTTTCAGCTTCAGGGTACTGTATAACTACAGTTGATGGTTCTCATCCCATTTTCAGGGAAACAATTTCCTGACTTCTACCTGGACAGGTCCCTTGAGCCATGCCCGTGGTACAAAGAACAAAGGACACTTCCCAGCCTCTGATCACTGGCTCTGATCAGGGATGCAGGTTTTAGTTCTCAAAATTGGTGTGCGGAGTTGGACAAAATATTTTTACCCTTTTTCAGACCACTCTGTTTCCGATAGAGGTCCCAGGAAGACGACCTACGGGAAGTGACCTTGGAGTCGGGTCTGGGGGCTACTGCACTCCGCGCAGTCAGAAGGCCTGGCGAGCTTTGAGAACAGTACGACGAAATTTAGAAAGTATAAGCAGCAGGGCATTAAACAGAAAGCCTCAGAGACCACTCTCGGGCCGACTCTGCGAGATACTGCAGAAAACCTGACTCGAAGCTGTACCGGAGGCCCCCGGCAGAGGGCGCGATCCCGCCCTGCGGCCTTAATCTTAGAGCGCCGGCGAGAGCAGCGCTTCCGGCGAGGGCGGGGCTTCCGGCTGCGCGCTAGGTCAGGGGGCGCCTAGGGCAGATTCGTCCTTCGCTTTTGCACGTGTTGAGACTGCAGCCTCCGGCGCGATGCTTCCTCTGCTCCGCTGTGTGCCCCGAGTCCTGGGCTCCGCCGCTGCCGGCCTCCGCGCCGCCGCGCCCGCCCCGCCGCTCCAGCAGCTACTGCAGCTGGCGCCCCGGCCGTGCGCCCGGCCCTTCGGATTGCTCTGCATGCGCGCGGGGTCGGGGCGGCGGCCCGGCCTCCTGCGGCCTCCCGTGCCCTGCGCCTGTGGCTGCGGCTGCGGCGCGCTGCATACCGAGGGTGAGTTTCGCTCACGCGGGTTCGGGGCGTTTTGGCGAGGGAGTCGGGGTCTGGAGAGGAAGAGCGTAGACTGCCAGGAGTGGATCACCTAGAACCCGACCCCCGAGGTCCGGTACATTTGGCAACCAGCAGATAAAACCCACGTGTGATCATGTTCCTCTTCCTCTCCCATCCACCAAACGTTTTTCGAAAATGGAGGTTTTAGGAAGGCTGGCAGGTGGAAGAAGGTAATTTGCAATTATTTTGGTTTATAGCTAAAGGTGGTAATGAGTGTATTGTTGGAAATCACTTTGTCAGAATGAAGCTCAACTACTTACTAGTAGTGTTATGGTATTTTTACAGATGAGAAAACAGGCTTACTAGTGTGAATTGGTTCTCTGAGGAACCATAATAGCAGAGAGATCAGAAACTGTCCAAATCCAGATTCCTGGCTGCAGTAACCTGGGTAATCGCTTTATGTTAAACCAATTGGCTTTCCTTTTTTGTATCACTTGGATTCCTTCTAGGGGACAAAGCTTTTGTTGAATTTCTGAGTGATGAAATTAAGGAGGAAAAGAAAATCCAGAAGCATAAGTCTCTCCCCAAGATGTCTGGAGGTTGGGAGTTGGAAGTGAATGGGACAGAAGCAAAATTAGTGCGGAAAGCTGCTGGGGAAAAGTAAGTACTGCGCTGGAGACTGGGGACTCCAGAGGATCAAATCTGTGACCGTACAAGACCTGTCCTAGGTCGTCTCCAGAGTAGCCTTGAGTTAAGGTGGCTACTTTGATGTGAAAAATGGTTTTCAAAAGACAGTATTCATTTGAACAATTTCATAAGTTCTTCATGGCTCATTAAGGAACACAGATTTGCTGTGGGTTAGTTACTGAAGAGACTTAATACTGGATAGGTAAAAAAAACCACACAAAAGTGTGTTGCTGGAAATCTATTGGATGGCAGAGATTCCATGAATCTTTACTATTGAGGGAAGCCACACCCTGCCTAAACTTAGGCATGCAGATTCAGAAGTTCTTATATAATGAAAGGATTAGTTTGGTCTCTGGCTTACAGTCTTGATAAAACTGGCCTTGCCCTGCCCCCTAATCTATACAGCTACCAAAAATGAAAATGCAAGATTACCAGGCACGGTGGCTCACGCCTGTAATCCTATCATTCTGGGAAGCCAAGGCAGGTGGATTGCCTGAGACCAGCCTGAGCAAGAGTGAGACCCGTCTCAAAAAATAGCGTGGTGGGTGCCTGTAGTCCCAGCTACTAGGGAGCTGAAAAAGCAATTTCAAGAGAATTGCTTCAGTCCAAGAGTTTGAGGTTGCTTTGAGCTGTGATGCCACACTATTGTACTGGTGGCTACAAAGTGAGACTCTGTTTCAAGAAAAAGATAATGTAACTCCCATGTAACAGAATAGGGTTACAATGTAGTGAAGGTTGTCCTAAGAAAGATGGTGGAGAGTTTTTTACCTAGTTCGGCTCCTTTCTCTTTTCCTAGACTGTTAAGTGTTTATACTTTCCTCTATTATACAGTCACCCCTAATCCCATTACCCAGATAAACATTTAGAATCTTCCAGTTTTTCTTGAAATGTTTTTATAATTGGCCTCATAATACATGCAATTTTATATCCTTTTTTTTTTTTTGCAGTTTTTGGCCAGAGCTGGATTTGAACCCACCACCTTGAGCATATGGGGTCAGTGCCCTACTCCTTGAGCCACAGGCACTGCCCAATTCTCTTTTTCTATGATAGCTTTGAGATTTAATTTATTTACCATAAAATTCACCCTTTTATTAAAGTATACAATTAGGTGGTTCTTAGTATTCACAAAATTATATATCAGTCACACTAATTCTAGAACATTGTCATCATTCCAAAGCCCCATTAGCAGTCACTCTATTTCTTCCCTTCCTCAAGCTCTGGCATACAGCAGAGCTACTTCCTCTGTATATCACCTGTTTTGGAAAATGGACTCATACATTTTGTGGCTTTTTGTGTCTGCCTTCTTTCACTTAGCATTGTTTTCAAAGTTTATCCTTGTTGCCAGGCACGGTGGCTCATGCCTGTAATCCTAGCAGTTGGTAAGGCAAAGTGGGCAGATCGCTTGAGCTCAGGAGTTTGAGACCAGGCTGAGCAAGATAGAAAAAATTATGTGGGCGCTCTGGTGATAACCAGTGGTCCCTGTTGCTCAGAGGGCTGAGGGATGAGGAATGCTTAAGCCAAACAGTTTGAGGTTGCTGTGAACTTTGATGACACCCCGGCACTCAACCCTAGAGCAACAAAGTGAGAATTTGTCTCAAAAAAAAAAAAAAAACAGTTCATCCTGTTGGTAGTAGCATGTATCAGTACTTAGCTTCTTTTTAGGGCCAAAGAGTAGTCCATTGTATAGATATACTACAATTTTTTAGTCATCAATTAATAGACATTTGACTTATTGCCACCATTAGCTTATATGAATAATACTGTGAACATTTGCATACAAGTTTTTCTGTCAACATGATTTCTCTTGAATATGAAGAGTGGATTTGCTGAGTCATAACAACTCTTGATCATTTTAGCCATCCTAGTGTGGATATGAAGTAGTGTCTCATTGTGGTTTTGATTTAATTCCTCTGATGACTAATGATGTTGAGCATCTTGGCCGTTTGTATCTCTTTTCAGATTCTTCACACATTTTTCACTTGGTCCATTTGTCTATTTATTGTTGTTAGAGTTCTTTATATTTTCCAGGGAGTATTTTCTCCCATCCTTTGACACAAGTTTTTTATTTTGATGAAGTTTACCTGTTTTTGCTTCTGTTACTTGTGCTTTTTAGTGTCACATCTAAGAAAACACTGCATGACCCAGGGTTGAAAGATTTATGCCTATGTTGTCATCTAACAGTTTTATTGTTTTAACTCATGTTTAGGTCTGTGATCGATTTTGAGTTAGGTTTTGTGTATGGTTTTTAGCAGGGTTCTGATTCTTTTTTGCTAGTATATGATGTGGGGTTTTTTCCCCCCCATATATAGGTTAGTACATATTCTGCAACCTCACACCTAAACCATTTTCCTGGGTTTTTCATTGCCAGTTTTGGGTCATTGTAAATAATGCTCTGATTAACATCACTGCATTTCTGTGCCCCAGAGCGCAGCTTGGTCACTGCTGTTGCAATTTTGACAAATTAGTGGCTGAATCTCAAACTGCTGTAGTACCTGTGGGGAGATAGCCAGTTAGCATGATTCCAGAGGGCAGTGACTAGCATGCTCCAGTCTTAAAATTGTCATTAGTTGGTGATTTTGGCATACTTTGAGATTATAAAACTTCACAAGAGTGCTTGAGAATCCATCTGTCAGTGTCAGGGGCTGTGGCTATGAGCCCTGGGATGCTGGCCCATGGAAGCAGCCCACACATGATGGTTTGGCTGAGATAAACTAGGGCCTCTTCTGGCAGCTGGCACATAGTAGGCACACTGATTCACTTTGCTGAGTCAGTCTCAGGGCTAGATTTTGGTTCCCAGCCTTTTTGAAATTCTGCAAATAATTCACATGAATAGACAGCTAGGATGGAGGCATTGTTTCAGTGGAGGCTTTTTAATTATAGCGTGTTTCCATGCTTATGTGTTAATCTACTCAGTTAAAACTGCCTTGTCTTTGTATTCTGCTTTTTTAGGATCACTGTCACTTTCAACATTAACAACAGCATCCCACCAACGTATGATGGTGAAGAGGAGCCCTCACAAGGGCAGAAGGTTGAGGAACAGGAGGTAAGCGCCTCTTAGCTTTTATCTCAGTTCTGATAGCTGCCCCAGTGGTTTAAAGAAGGAACACTTCTTTCTTTTTTTAAATTCCTTCTAATACTAGAAGAGAGAAGGTAAAGGACACTCATCCTTGGGACTTACAGAGTGGCAGAATCAATACTTTCTGACCAGCTTTAGCCTTGGGGCTGTGGCCCTTTTCTTTTTCAGGGGCTGAATAAATCGCCATCTGCAGGCTCAGGCTTTGCAGTTTGGCCTGTGTTAACAGAAAGGTATTGAAAGCCAAGGGTGGTGGCTTACAGCTGTAATCCTAACACTCTGGGAGGCCAAGGCTGGAGGATCTCTTGAGTTCAAGATTTTAAGACCAGCCTGAGCAAGCCTGAGACCCCAGTCTCTTCTAAAAATAGATTACCTGGGGACCATGGCACATGCCTGTAGTCCAGCTCTCAGAAGGCTGAGACAAGAGGACCATTTGAACCCAGGAGTTTGAGGTTGCTGTGAGCTAGGCTGACACCATGGTACGCTAACCGTGGTGACATAATAAGACTCTGTCTCAAAAAAAGAAAGGAATAGAAACTATCTCAACCCCTCCCATGATGGGGATGCGTTTGATACTAGAGAATATCTGGTATATTTCCATGTGAGGAAACATGTCACAAGCTGGTAACAAGCACTCAGCTCAGATAAGAAAGCCAGGGGCAAGGGCAATTTTTTAACACTGTTGAATAGTCAAGCTGTTAAGAGATCTTGGAGCTTTAGGCAACCTTTGTAGTGTATGGATGGAGAAATAGGCCTAAGAAGCTGAAAGGACTGATCTAAATGTCAGTTAATTGGCACAGAGCTAGGGCTGGAATGCACATTTCTTTTTTGGGGGGAGCCTCAAGCTGTCCTCCTGGGTAGAGTGCTGTGGCATCGCAGCTCACAGCAACCTCCAACTCCTGGGCTCAAGCGAGTCTCCTGCCTCCGTCTCCCAAGTAGCTGGGACCACAGGCGCCTGCCACAAGGCCCGGCTATTTTTTTTGGTTGCAGCCATCATTGTTGGGCGGGCCCAGGCTGGATTTGAACCTGCGACCTTAGATGTATGTGGCTGGCGCCTTAGCCACTTGAGCCACAGGTGCCGAGCCCACATTTCTTGATTCTAAACTCAGTGTGTTCTTTAATAAGTAAGGTGCTAACAGAAGTGTTATATACTCTGTGTTAAAGATTCCAAGCTGCTTATTTGGGAATGCTTATAGCAAAAGACTATTAAAGTGGCTATATAAAGTGTCCATCAGATACTTTGAACTGAGACCTTTGATCAGGCATTCAGCCCTGTCCTACAAAGGCATCTACTGACTTTTTCTTGTTTCCCCAGCCTGAACTGACGTCAACTCCTAATTTTGTGGTTGAAGTTATGAAGAATGATGGCAAGAAGGCCCTTGTGCTGGACTGCCACTATCCAGAGGATGAGGTATGCAGGATGGAATGCCAGCCCCTTGGGGAAAAGGTGTTTCCTGGGATCTTCTTGGTCCTTTCTGTAGACACTTAACAGACTTTGTATCTTAAACCACCAAAGCAGGGGAAGAGAGGTGAGGTATGAGGGAACAAGAGGAAAACATGGTACATTTCAAGCTGTAAACAGTCCTTTAGCTTTGCTTGAGTCTGGATTGTCCTGGAAAACTTTTCAGTTTCCCCTAATATGTTTCCTCTCAGGTTGGACAAGAAGAGGAGGCTGAAAGTGACATTTTCTCTATCAGGGAAGTTAGCTTTCAGTCCACCAGTGATTCTGAATGGAAGGATACTAATTACACACTCAACACAGATTCCCTGGACTGGGTGAGTGGTTGAGGAGAGATGCTTTGGGGCTTTGCATGTGGGAAGGTCCTAGTTGAATGACAGAAATTTTTTTTTTTTTTTTTAGACTTGAGTCTCACTGTGTCACCTGGGTAGAGGCTGTGGCATCACAGCTCACAGCAACCTCCAACCCCTGGGCTTAAGTGATTCTCTTGCCTCAGCCTCCCAAGTAGTTGGGACTATAGTCCTCTACCACAGCACCTGGCTATTTTTTGGTTGTAGTTGTCATTGTTTGGCAGGCCTCAGCTGGATTGGAACCTGCCAGCTCAGGTGTATGTGGCTGGCACCTTAGCCGCTTGAGCTACAGGTGCCAAGCCAGAAAGAAGTATCTTAATTATTATAGATTATCCTTTTTTTTTTTAAATTAGTAAATGTTGTTCTTTATAGGCCTTGTATGACCATCTAATGGATTTCCTTGCGGATCGAGGGGTGGACAACACTTTTGCAGATGAGTTGGTAGAACTCAGCACAGCCCTGGAACACCAAGAATATATTACTTTTCTCGAAGACCTCAAAAGTTTTGTCAAGAGCCAGTAGAGCACACAGAGACACTGAAAGCCTGACTTTTATGGCAGGCTTTGGCCAGTGAACAAATCCCACTCTACAGCCAGACACATGTGCTTTGAAATGGTTATCATCCTACTATCATGGGGAAAAAAAGCAAATGTAAATTATTTCTTTGCATTCACTTACTATTCATTTGGCTTTTTTCTGTACAAATCTAGATTTTTGTATAACATAATGATAGACAATAAAATTGGTTTATCTCCTCCAAGGTAGTTTGTCTTTTCCATTTCTATTCCTTCCCCTCCAACCTTGCTCTTTGCATCACAAAACACCAAAAGTGGAGATGTTTGAACAGTTTTAATACAAAAATGCTATCAATAAAAGGTTGCTATACACAAGTCTCCTTCTCAGAGGGAGTAGAGTTGTTTAAAGGATCACAGCCCAAGTATCACAAGCCTGGATTTAAATTAAAAAAAAAAAATAGCTTAAGTTATATTCTGGTCATGAAAATCATCCTAATATTTGGTTAAAAGTTATAACCAATAATATGAATTCCTACACATTAGAAGATGCCCACTAAGTCCAGTTACAATTATGAATTAGTTTGGTGGTGTAGTTTGTCATGGGGGCCACTGATGAGCCTCCCCTCTTAAGCTTTGTCGTCCTGCAACCTTCAAACAGCCCTGGAAACCAGTAGCAGCATTGTCTTCAAGCTAAGATCAAATCCTGGAACTGAACTAATCAAACGTCCTCACTTATAAGAAACCAGTGACCAGAAGGATTATTCAAACTCTTCACAGCTTGGAGCTCTGAGCCTAGCAAGGATGTGAGACTTCTTCAACTTAGAAGATTGCAATGGGCATGTATTAGAGGTGAGGTACAAACTGCATGCTTATTGCAGACAGAGAAAACTCTTGAGCCCCACTGATGTCAATAAGTACCTGAGTATTAAACTGGCTCCTGACTCCTTCCACTTTATTGGTATAATACAGGTATTTGGCTTTCTAAAGAAGGCCCTATCACCCTCCTAATAGGTTTAATACATTCCATCCCTATGGCCACCATCACATCTCAAATACTCCCCCAAGTCCTTGAAATATATTACCACCTTCTGTAACCCACTCCTATCTTTCACCTCATCTTCAACATGAATGCTGAATTAC